CTTGATAAGTCATATTATTAGAGAAAGAAGAAATCTATAGGTTAGCATCACAGTAAAATCATGAAAGAAAATAATTTTTCAAAAACGTAAATTATTTTAAAGATCACTGACAGTGAAATAAGAGTGCGAGGTTTAGAATTAGACTTACTGGTTTTGAATGATAGTTTTGGCACTTCCTAGGAAGGGTTATTGGGGGTTGGTTACTTATCTGGTGTATCTTAGCTTCTTGTTTTGTAAAATTAGGTGATAATAGTAATATTTGCAAGAATATTGTGAGAATTAAGTAAGCTCATACTCTTTAAATGCTTTGAGGAATGTATAACTCAAAAACTCAAACTCATTGCTGTCATATCAATTTTGACTCATCATGACCCCACAGGACAGGGTAGGACTGGCCCTGTGGGTTTCTGAGACACTAACTCTTTACAAGAGTAGAAAGCCTGTCTTATCCTGTGGAGGTTGAACTTTCATACTTGTACTAATTATTTCTGCATGTAATTATTATGCTTACACCCAACTGTTCATAACTGAAAATCCGTTCTACTGCGTGGGATTTGTTGTGCAATGTTCTAGTTCACACTAACCTCTTTGCTATGAGGAACCGGGTGCCAGTGAGTCAGTTTTGACTCACACTAACCCTATGCTCAATAGACTGAAACATTGCCCTGTCTGATGCCATCTTCACAATTGCTGTTTGAGCCCATTGTTGCAACCAATGTTCTAACCCATCTCCTTGAAAGTCTTCCTCTTTTTCCTTGACCCTAAACTTTACCAAACATAATTTCCTTCTGCAGGGATTGCTCCCTCCTGATAATTGGTCCACAGAGGGTAAGGCAAAGTCTCCCTCTTCTTGCATCTCAGGAGCATTTGGAACACACTCCGAGGCATATTTGTTTGTTTTTCAGGCAATACATGGAACTGGAAATAATTCTTCAACAACACAAAATTCCAATGTGTTCATTCTTCTTTGGTCTTCCTTACTGATTTTCTCGCTGTCACATGCATACGAAGCAATCGACAATTTGAAGGCTTGGGTTGAAAACCACAAAACCAAACCCACTGCCATCAAGTTGCTTCTGATTCATGGAGCTCTCAGAGGGTAGAGTAGAACTGCCCTTTAGGGTTTCCAAGGTTGTGCGTCTTTATGAGAGTAGAAGGCCTCATCGTTCTCCCAAGGAGCTGGTGGGTTTGAACCGGTGACCTAGTGTTTCACAGGCCATTGTGTAACCCACTATGCCACTAAGGCACACCTACTCCTCAAAATGACATCTTCAAATACATATTGTACGACATATTTACTTTGGTTTCTGACTGCTGCTTCCATGAGTGTGGGTGATGTAGGACTATAGTCTCAGGAGACACTAGAATTAATTGGGATGACACATTGCACAAAGACAATGGTCTACATCCTAATTAGGTGTGTAGCGACTGGGGTCTTAAGAGCTTTGAATGGCCATCTAAGGTGCAACTATTCTCTCTTCCACCTACAGCAAAGGAGAGGGAAGAAAATCAAAGAAGCATGGAAATAATTAGTCCAATGAACCATACAAACATCAGCTTCCACTACCCTGTGTCTAGAATTAGATGGCATCCAGCGACCCCTATTAATTGCTCTGAAAGGGAGTACATGACAAAGTTCTGGGTAAAGTGGGAAAAATGTCCAACAAAATTCAAAATCATAAAAACAGATCAGGCTTATTGCTCCGACAGAGACGGGGATTTCAGTGTCAATGGCTCCCAGTCAATCTTCAGATATGAAACTGAACTCATCCCATGGCTCAATTTTTAGTTGAACAATTTTTAGTTAAACATTAACACTAAGGATATATGCATTCCTAGAACAAATAATCATTTGAGATCAAAAGGGTGGCATTTACCCAAGATTGGGAAAGGAGGAATGGAATGGAAAATACAGGGAAGAAGTGGCATAAATGATGCTACATTGGGGAGAACATAATAAAAGACAAGAAAAAAACTAAAAGAGTATGCATTGGCTGCAGTCTGGGTCTCACTATCTTTTATATGTATACCTGACACACCATCAGAGATGCGGCATACAGAATCAAAATTTATATTTTTCACATTAGAATTAATATGGGAAGGAATTGGCTTTAAAGATACCAAGGGCTCAAGTAGAAAACAAATGTTTTGAAAATGATGATGGCTGGAAGAAGCACACCAGCCTGTGCGATCTAGAGGTGTCGAAGGGATCAGGTATCAGGCATCAAAGAACAAAAAAATCATATCCTTGTGAATGAGGGGGAGTGCAGATTGGAGACCCAAGACCCATCTGTAGGCAACTGGACATCCCCTTGCAGAGGGGTCGCGGGGAGGAGACAAGCCAGTCAGGGTGCAGTGTAGCAACCATGAGACACACAACTTTCTTCTAGCTCTTAAATGCTTCCTCGCCCCCACCCCTACTATCATTATCCCTTACAAATCTGGCTAGACCAGAGACTGTACACTGGTACAGATAGGAACTGGAAACACAGGGAATCCAGGATAGATGATCCCTTCAAGACCTGGTGGTGAGAGTGGTGATACCAGGAGGGTGGAAGGAAGGTGGGACAGAAAGGGGGAACCGATTACAAAGATTACAAAGATCTACATATAACCTCCTCCCTGGGGGATGGACAACCGAAAAGTGGGTAAAGGGAGATGTCAGACAGTGTAAGTTATGACAAAATAATAATAATTTATAAATTATCAAGGGTTCATGAGGAAATAGGGAATGGGGAGGGAGGGGGAAAATGAGGAGCTGATATCAAGGGCTCAAGTGGAAAGCAAATGTTTTGAGAATGATGAGAGCAACAAATGTACAAATGTGCTTCACACAATGGATGGATGGATGGATTGTGATAAGAGTTGTTAAGAGTCCCCAATAAGATGACTAAAAAGAATAAAAGAAAATGATGATGCAACATATGTACAAATGTGTTTGTTACTACTGATGTATGGATTGTTATAAGAGCTGTAAGAGCCTCCAATCAAATGATTTTTTTAAATAAAAAGATTCAATATTGAAACTCAATTATGGGCTCAAGTTTACTTATCTATAAAAATGGAGAACATAGTATTTTCCTACTGGAATCACAGGTTTAAATTTAATGAACCATTTAAATATCTTAGAATAGTGTCTGGCATTCAATATCTCTTCATAATTATTGTTATTATTATTTTGTTCATAGTCATTTTTATGCCAGTAGATAGTGCCTAGTGATGTGAATATAAATAATGCCACAATATAAACTAAACCATACTTTCTCAACCATTGATCAAATCTTATCCTAAGAAAGGATCATGGGATTTTCTTTCAGTAGTCCCTCTCCTTTGCAAGGTAGGAGCATGTCTCTTCTTAGACCAGGTGACATTGACTATCTATCTTATAAATATGAAATGAGAACTGAAACAAAACCAAAACTCACCTTGGAGAAGTTGGTACTTGCCTCTCTATTATCTACTCTATGAAGAGGGAAACAATTGGACATTTAGTAGTTAGTTTGTCTAGTGTTTTGCTTTTTCACTTAGCATCTTTATCTAGTTCAACAGGAAAAACAAGTAGCTTATGAGAGGGTGGAGGCTGGCATGTGAGAAGGACAAATGGAAAAGGAGATCATGGACATATGGGAAGCAAATGGTTAAATGTCTACAGCTAACAGTGACTGTGACGTTAGCTCTTTCTCTCCAATGTGGCTTTCTCTACAGGGTGGCAGTCAGAGGTCTAGCTGCATATCAATGATTTCCTTTCCCAGATGCCAATAAATAGAAATGCACTGTAACTCTCTTGATTATTTCCATGACGTTAAGGCAAACAGTAGGGCCTGGGAGTGGCAGTGGTTAAAAGCTTGCTGGCTAACTGAAAGGTCAGTGGTTTGAATCCATCAACTGCTCTGACAGAGAAAGACGTGGCAGTCTGCTTGGAAACCTTTTGGGGCAGTTGTCCACTGTACTGCAGGGTAACTATAGCAGTCGATTCAAATTTGATTCAATGACAATGAATATATATATTTATGTTAAAAGAGGAGTCCCTGAGTAGTGCAAGTGTTGAAGCACTTAGCTACTCCCTGGAAGATGGATGTTCAAGTCTCCTACCCAGATGCCTCAGAAGATAGGCTCGTGATCTACTTCTGAAGCATCAGTCAGAAAACCTTCAGGGGCAGGTTCTACTCTGAAACATGTGGGTTGCCCCGAGATGGGATTGACTCTCAGGCGACTGGCTTTTTGGTTCATTGTTAAAAGACTTCCAGCTAAGCTGCCCTGAATGCCCTGTAGTATGCATACTTGTTTGGTCAGTCTTCTTGTGCACCAAATGGTCAGGTACTTCTTGCCATTGGTTGCCCATCTTCTCAGCGATTTTGAAATATGTTGTGGACTATTTCTGGCACAAATACATATTTGAGAATTTTAAGGTTTTCCAAATATATTGCCAAGTATTTGAAGTCAAATTTTTGCTAAGAGAAAGATAGCAACAGCTTTATTTCAAGATTTATTAAAAAGAGAATTCAAATGATTAGTATTCTACAACATAATCTCCTCTCCTAAACTTAGGTATTTCCTTTGTCTTGTAGATTATGTGATACCCCGCAAATTTAGGTTTGTACGGTACTCCACGACTAGTTGAAAGGTTGGTACTTTAAAGCCCCACAGAGGCACCTTGGCAGGCAGGCCTACCAGCTGGTTTCTAAAAGTCAGGCTTAAAAACTCAATGCACAGTTGTACTCAACACACATGGAGCTGCCACGAGTCAGAACTGACTCCAAAATAACCCATTAATGTACATTCTCCATAAACCTGCTCCAAAGAATTTGGGAGAGAAGCATTGGTAAGACGATTCTGCTAAAGAAAAGTTAATCATATCACATTCCAAAAATGATGTTGCCCTTTGAAAGTACACAGTTAAACATAATAAATGCTATTCTACCCACCCCAGTCATGGAGAGGTGCTTGAATACTTTATAGAAATTGTATTTTTGATGGTTTATATAATGTGAAAAGATTACCTGTCCCAGTGATCTCCAGTCTAAACTGGCACTGCCGAGGTACACGTGCTGCTTATCTACGATCCAGAAGGAAGACTGGAGCCGGCCTTTGTTGTAAGCAGTCATGTTCATGTATGTCACTTCAGCCCCTAGGAGTTCAAGAGGGTACCGGTCAACCTGTGCTTCAAAGTCCAGAGCTTGTCATCAATTATCTAACAGAAATACTCACGGCTTTTTGTTCATTGTAAGAGGATTTAAGAGAAGTCAATTTTTTTTATTAGTTCAGTGGACAGAAAGCCCTCAAATAGTTGTTTTGTTCCCAGAAAGAAAAGAAAAAAATGAAATGTCGTAGTTTCCTATGTGTATACAGAGGAGGTTCTCTGCGCATTTATCAGGGAACAACTTTTCAACTCCAATCTCTATTCTAGTCCTGCTTCCATTGCTTGCTATCTGGGTGGCTGCATAGATACACCTTGTTGTTGTTGTTGTTCAGTCAATTACAATCTCTGTGTGTGGAGTAGAACAGAGCTCTATAGGGTTTCCAAGCTTGGGATTTTTTAGAAGTGGATCCCCCAAAGGCCTGTCATGGGAGGGGCCTTTAAGTACATTTGAATCATTAACCTTTGGACTAGTAGTAGAGTGCTTAACTGTCTGCACCACTCATGAACCCATATTATTCTTTTTTCTTGTGGGATATTTTAATATAAATTCATACTAAATTCAAAGATCAGTCTTGTTTAGTATTACAGCTCCCCCTCAACAAGATATTGGCATTCTTCTCGAACCCTTGTGAACTTTTTCAGTGGCATGCCTGGATGGTGTGAACAGTTAACACACTCAGCACTGGCTGGAAAAAATGGATGTTTGAGTCTACCCAGCGACACTTCAAAAGAAAGACCTGGAGGTCTACATCCCCGCAAATCCGTCATCGAAAGCCCCATGTCACACAGCTCTCCCCTAACACACATGGCATCATCCCGAGTCACAATGGGCTCAACAGCAACTGGCTGACCCTTCCACTTGCCTTTGCTTTCAGTTTCCTTCTGTGCTGTTTATTTTGGTTTTGGCCTCTCCTTGGCCTTTACTTATCTGATCGTTCTTATTTAAGTCTGATTATTCACACTTATTAGAAATGCAATCGCGAATGGTTCACTAGGTCACTCAGTTAAAACCCAACCCACAGTTTAAGAAATTAATTTGGTCAGTTGTTTTAAGCATGCTGCAGCTGTGTCAAGTTATTATGTATGACCGTTTCCAAATTATTCACTGAAAACGTCTCCATAGGAGCATATAGCCCACTCAGAACAAAGACATTTAAATAATGTGTTTCTTAAAGGTCTATTTGCTTCAGAAGAACAGCCCCCTATGCATACATTTCAGAAGCTAAGCCATTTCGGTCTTCAGGGTGACAGGGACAAAGCAGGTTCTGCAATATTAATGAAGAAGATGTACTCCGGTGCCACGCTTCATTGCCAGTATCTTCATTGCCTGCAGAATAAGTACTGTTTTATGCATAAGCATTAACCACTTGCTGTTGATTCAACTCAGACTCTAAGTGACCCCATGTGTGAAGGGTAGAATTGTGCTCTGTAAGGTTTATTTACAGTGCCTGTTTTTTTTCAGAGTAGATCATTAGGTCCTTATTCAGCGACCTCCCTGGGTGTTTTCAAACTTCCAAACTTTCTGTTAGCACGTGAGCACATTAACTATTTGCTTCCCCAGAGAGTCATTGTTTATGTACAGGGTACATTTCAAGACATTGGTAAGGAAGAGTGATGTGAGCTATGAACTAAACCCTAACTTGAGAACATGGAAACTATCCCCCTTGTAAGATGATGAAACGAGAGGGTATCTTAGAGGCGGATCTGAGGGGAAAGGAGCGTCCCTACAGATTTTCTCTGAGGTGGAACAGCAGCTTTATTCTAGAAGAAGGGCACATGCTTCTCAGCCCCTCGTGGGTCATCCTGGCACCAAGAAATAGATACAAACCCCCAAGGAGGAAAAGTTGGGAAGCAGTTTGAAGCTCCCAAATGGAGGTCAAGGCGGCTATACTGGGGGGCCCAACATGTGTATAGAGGTGTGGCACCCCTTGAGACGTAGCTGCCCATGGACGAAGAGCAGCATTTGGCTTTTGGACAATTCCATTATGCACTGCGTATCAGAACAGTGTTAGGCTACTCTACTGGGAGGTTAGCCTAATCGACATGATGTCAGAGACCACCGACCGTCCTGCACCTGTCAGGGCCTCAGCTACTGGTTGATCCTGTCCTGCAAGTATTTCAGAAAGGAGCGATGCTCCTCTTCATTTTTCACCAGAGAGCAAATGTCGGAAAAGCCTTCAAAAAAGTTCATGGAAAGATAGAATTAAAAGCTAATTCAATTGTCACATAAACTCATATTTCAGATGTTATGCTGTGTCAAGTTGGGGATAAAACACCAAAAGTCATATTGAAATCCAGGTGATTTAAAGTTTAACTGACCACCTGTCTGTCACTTTTGGTAGACAGCAGCGTTTCCAGACTAAGACAAAATGGGAAGAAAGGCCTGGTGATCTACTTCTGAGAATTAGTTAATGACTAATTTAATTTTAGTTAATGACAACCCTACAAAGCACATCATGGCATTGTTTGAATAGCGCTGGAAGATGAAACTCTAGATTGGAAGGTACTCAAAATACACAGTGGTCTCAACAGTAGATTCACACATAACAGTGATCTTGAAGAGGCAGAAGGCTTGCCCAGCATTTTGCTGTATTGTATGTACGACTGCCATGATGTGGAGTTGACTTGACGGCAACTAAAAGTATACTAATGTACAACATTTTAAATGTTCAAGATCTTCTTGATTCCCGATTAAAGCCAGAGAGTGGGGCAAACAGCAAGGGTGCACTGAGTCTCTGAAACATCAGGAAGGGAGAAGTCAAGCCCCCATCATTGTATCAAGTAATTCTAAGTGAAGGCTGGGAGCATGAAAAACTGAATAGTTCCACAGTTCTGCCTGCTACAAAAGCCAGGAAAGCTATAAGTAGAAATAGAGGAAGACGTAACCTTGTATCTTAACTTTCATTTCTTTAACACCTCTGTATGCCCAGAACAAAGATAGCTATTATAACAATTGCATATAATAGACATAAATTTGGTCTGTTTTAATACACGATAAACTACTTAAACATTGTTGAAGAAAATGAACTATTGGATGAGACATCTGGAAAAATGTCTTTCTACAAACGGTTTATGGAATACCACTTTCTCTTTAAGAATTATAGATGTCCCCAGGTTTTCTATAGTTACCTTTACATTAGTGCCTGTGTTTGCTAACCAAAGAAACCTGGAGTGTTTTCTGAGAAAGCAACAACAACAAAAATCACTGAGGTCAATTTGCAGTGTAGGCAAACATTCCTGTCACCTCCATTGATCCTGCGGAGAGCTTCTACGAGACCAGAACCATGAAGGGAACTTTCGAGATAGCTCCACGGGCCATGCATATGAAAGAATGATGGTGCTGCTGGCCAAAATCTGTCCTCAAACTGAATATTATTCTCATGAGTTTAATTTGTCATAGAAATTTTTTTGAAGAAAAAGGGATATAATCATAGATGATATAAAGGATCAGTATTTGATGTGGTTGAAAGCATTGAATCTGCTGAGTGTGTAGAGACTCCTGGTCAGAACTACAAAGACACATATCTGCTAATACTTTTCAAGGAAATTTACTTTGCAAGAAATAATGACGAAAGAAAGCAAAATAAAGTGGAAGCTAAATTATCAGCTAAACAAGAGGAAGAAGATACACAGAATTTAGCAGAAGGTGTTGAAATGCAGTCTCTAGAAGAAAAGGTGTATTAGTTACTGAAATTTTTAGGCAGCCTAGATGATCAGACCTGCTGAGAAGATTTACACATCTTTTTTTCATATTATAAAGAAATAAAATGGATAGATTGTCAGAGGAGTAAAAGATGAAGTAGTTCTATTTAAAGAAAAAGCTAAGGAAATACTGGATAAAGTTAGAGATGCAAGGCACAAAGGATTACAAATAAGGCACAAAGGAGTGGCAGGAGAAGTAGTAAAAGCAGAGGTGAAAAAGTGGCATAGAAAAAATCATGGAAGATCAATACAGATACCTGAACAAATAGAAGTCAAAAGGAAAGAGAAAGGGAAATGAACTTGCCCAGCTTGGGTCTTCCAAACGAAAAGTACAAGTTCCGGGCAAGAACTCTATGTTTGACAGCGATGATGAATGCAATGGAAACGGTGCAGCTCCACCCATGAACCAAGCAAGACAAGAAGCAGAGAAGGACTTGTATCAAAACAACAGAAAATGGCTCAGGAGACTAGTGGTTTAGTAAACCATAGTAAAATTAATTTTTATTAGGCTATAACCTACTCTTGCCTTTGGCGATGTTGAAAAAGAAAAAGAAATTAGGTCCATGTCAATGTCCACCTGTAAGAAAAGAAAAAAAAATTGTTTGTCTTTTGTTGTGGTTATTGTTGTTATTCAAAGAGGATCTCGGTATTTGAAAATGCTTCAAAGCTATACTCACAAATGGACCAATAAATAACATTATGATAAATGGAGAAAAGGTTAAAGTTGGCAAGAATTTTGTCTTCTTTGGATCCAAAATCAATGCTCATGGAAGCAGCAGTCAAGAGATCAAAAGACAAGTTGTATTAGGTAAATCTGCTGCCCAAGACCTCTGTAGAGTATTGAGGAAGAAGACTAAGGTGTGGCATTTTCAAGCCATAGTATGCTCCATTGCATCATACGCATGTGAAAGTTGGACACCATATGAAAACTAGCTGCATTGGAATTGTGGTGCTGGTGAAGAATATTCAGAGTACCATGGACTGCTCAAAGGACGAACTCATCTGTATTGGAAACAGTAAGACCAGAGTGCTTCTTAGAGGCAAGGACAGCAAGACCTTGTCTCACATATTTTGCACATATTGTCCAGAGAGACCAATCCCTGGTGAAGGACATCGTGTTTGGTAAAGTGGAGGGCCGGTGAAAAAAGAGGAAGGCCTTCAGCAATGGAAGCCAAGCCAAGTCACAAAGACCCTGAGGAGCCCCCAAAATAGACTTCATGCTAGGAGGGGCAGTTCACAGAATCCCCCAGGACCAGTGGGGAGACAGTCATAAAGCTCAGCAGACA